ATAATTCGCAAGAGCGCGTGCGCAGGCTTTTGGTGAAAATACGTGTTGCGAAACCCTGTGTGTTTGTATGTTGTTTGGAGACTCGATTTTGAAATCCTTCCGAAACCAATGGTTTTTGACGGATGTCGGCATGCGCGCGCGACGACGCGCGCGCGCACTTCTCTCATTTGTTGAGAGGATTCTCGCGACGGCACGCGCGCAAGGGCGTTCGAACGATTTCAACATTCGCGCGCGCGAAGCCCGTTTGGTAGCATTTTATGAAAATGTTGAAAATACTGCTTTCTGAAAGATTCGCAAGACGGCACGCAAGTTTTTGTTGAACATCCGTGTTGCGAAACCGTGTGTTTTTATGTTTTTTTGTACACTCGATTTTAAAGTCCTTCCGAAACCGGAGGTATTGACGGATGTCGGCATGCGCGCGTGACGACGCGGGCGTGTGTACTTCGTCTCATTGCTTGCAAGAGATATTTGAAGACATATGGTTTTTGATAAACAAGTGTGCGCGCATAGTTTGTTGCCGAGGATGGCGGCGGGGGGGGGGATACCGGTTTGGCTGGGATGGTATGAACTCATAGGTTGGATGGACATTGGGTCAGAATCATTCCCCAATCAGTGCTTGTACTGAAGGGGTCATCGCGGATGTTGAAAAATTTGGTGGAAATGCCCCGCCGATTTTGGTCGCACACTGGGTTCCCGGGTTCCCGGGTTCCCGGTTCCCGGTTCCCGGGTTCCCCGGTTCCAGGGTTCCCCTGTTCCGGGCCGATTTCGGAGGGCGGCGACGTTCCCGGGTTCCTGGTCGATCTTCTTATCGATTGGTCTCACCATCAATCTCACTACCCACTTCTCGATCGATCTCACCATCGATCTCACTATCGATCTCACAAGCGATCTCACTGGAGATCGCATGAGCGATCTCGCGATCGATCTCACTATCGATTTCATTGAATCGATTTCACTCTCGGTCTCACGATCGACCTTGCAATCGTCGTCACTATCGATTCCACTGTCGATCTCATTATCGATCTCACAATCGATCTCAAGGTCCATAATATTGATTTTCAAATCATCCACTGGTTCGGGTTTTCTCAGGTGTGATATGTTAATTGCAATACGAAGAGGAGAATGGAAAAGACTGGGGGGGGGGGAGGGTGGTAGAACCTCTCTCTTTTCTTAGTAAGGAGAATACATGTTGTGCAAGCTATGCGGAGCAATCTAGGTGGTGCACTCTAGGTTATGCTATCTAGATGGTGCAACATATGCGGCGCGATGGTGCAGTCTATGTGGTGCAAGCTATGGCGTGCGACACATGTGGTGCGCGACCTATAAGATGTCATCTATGCTGTGCAATTGACTACCCTGCACCGCGCTTGACCCCTTCTAATGCTCGCGCAAACATCCCACCCACCCACCCGCAACTTGGTTTGCAAAATCTCTTAAGACCGTGACGGTGGGTACCAAATGGCACTTGGCAACGACAGCGACGCCGACGACGACAGCGACAACGACGACGACGACGCCGCCGACAACGACTACGACGACACCGACGACGTCTCCAACGACTTCGACGACGCCGACAAAGACGACGACGACACCGACGACGACGACGACGACGCCGACGCCGACGACGACGACGATGACAACTACGACGACGATGACGACGCCGACGACTTCGACGACGACGACAACGACGACACCGACGACGACACCGACGGCGACGACGACGCCGACGACGACGACGGCGGCGACGTCGACGACGCCGCCGTCGACGACGACGAAGACGACGACGACGCCGACGCCGACGACGACGAAGACGACGACGACGTCGCCAACGAAGACGACGACGAGGGAGGAGGGAGGACGGCGACGGCGACAACGACGACAACGACGACAACGACGACAACGACGAGGGAGGAGGAAGGTCGGCGACGACGCGAACGACGAAGAAGGAGGAAGGACGGCGACGACGACGACGACAACGACGAGGTAGGAGGGAAGACGACGACGACGACGACGACGGCGACGAAATAGGAGTGACGACGACGAGACGCCAACGACGGACGACGACGACGACGAGGGAGGAGGAGGAAGGACGACCACGGCGACAACGACGACGGAAACGACCACGACGCCAAAGAGGACGACGACGACGAAAACGAGGAAGGACAGAGGACGACATAGGCGACGACGACGACGACGCAAGAGCGCGCGCGCACGCTTTTGTTGAACATCCGTGTTGCGAAACCTTGTGGTGTTGCAGGTTTTTTGGACACACGATTTTGAAATCCTCCCGAAACCGATGGGTTTTGAAGGATTTCGGCATACGCGCGCGACGACGCGCGCGTCTGCACTTCGTCCCATTTTTTGCAGAGGATTCTCGTGACGGCACACGCGCAAGGGCGTTCCATAGATTTCGACATGCGCGCGCGCGAAGCCCGTTTGGTAGCATGTTGTGAGAATCTTGGAAGAAAACATATGGTTTTCTTAAGACTTCGCATGAGCTCGCGCGTAAGCTTTTTTAGCAAATCAGCGTTGCGAAACCATGTGTTTTTGTATGTTTTTGGGGAACTCGATTGCGAAATCCTTCCGACACCGAAGGTTTTTGAAGGATTTCGGCATGCGCGCGCGACAACGCGCGCGTGTGCACTTCGTCCAATTTGTTCCAAAGGATTCGTGAACAAGTCTTATGTTAGAGCAAACAATGTCCCCGCGTATCGTTTTTCACAAGGGAACCTCAGGGGGACCGATCCCGGCCCCCCGGGGATCGTGCAAATTCATATCTAGAATGGACATGTGGTCAGAATCATGAATGAATTACATACCCGAAAGGGGTACGGATAACTCCAGGGGGGGTAGAGTCTACTCTCTTTTTAGAAAAGAGAATGAATGTTGTGGAATCTATGTTGTGCAATCTATGTGGGGCGGCGACGGGGCGGCGACGGCAACAACACGCGCGGCGACCGACAGACAGGCCCAAACGACGAGCGGCGACGAAGCGGCGATGGCGGCAACACGCGCGGCGACCGACAGACAGGCTCAGATGACGGGCGGCGACGAGGCGGCGACGGGCTTTCGACGGCGGCAACAAGCGCGGCGACCGACAGACAGGTCCAGACGACGAGCCCAGATGGACGACAGGCCCAGTTCCTCAGAGGAAGAATAAGACACCCTAAGTGCAGGCACTGTTTGGGCAATGATGAAGCGACAGGAGGGAGGAACACGGAGAAGCGGGGATAAGGAGAATCACGAGGCGAGAGGAGGAGAACGGAGGAACAAGGATGAGAAGGGGCGCGCTCGACGCCTCAATCTGCTCAGTACGAGGAGCGGGAGCATGAGGGAATCAACATCGAGGGCGAGGGGGAACACAAATGACTGGTTCCTCTCATCTTCTCCTCCTTAAGACTTCTAGGGGAAAGGGGGGACGGACGAAAGCAAACCGGGAAAGCAGTTGAGGAATCTGCGGGTCGACATCGAAAGCGTACTGGGCAATACGAGAGGACCAACCTATAAGGGATACTAAGGGAGGGGCGATCAGAACAAGGTTCTACGGAATGGTGGAGCAGGAAGAGGATGTGTAGGAGGATGTGCAATGAGGAAAGGGGGGAAACGAGGAGAATGAGGCGGAGGCGGCGAAAGAAAATGATGGGGATAATGCGGGTGAGAAGAATACCCTAACCCCGTCTTCGGCGCACTAGATCACTACCTCCTCCTCCTCCTTCTCGTCCTCCTCATCCCCGACCTCCTCTCGCATTCCCCCTCCCCCTGCTCATCCGCACCCTCCACACCCCATCCGACCTCCTGGCTAACTCTCTTCCTTTCTCCCCGTCCTCCCCCTATTCCTCCGCCTCCTCCTTCTGGCTAATGACTCTCTCCCTCCTCCCTTCTTCTTTCCTCTACTCCCTTCATCCCCGCTTCTCTCCCCTCATCCACTCCCCTCCTCCCCCCTCCTCCCCTTTCATCCCCCCTCCCCTTCCTCGAGCATGCCGTTCCCTCTCCGTTGTCCCCCCCCCTTCTCCTTCCTCCTCCTCCTCCTCCTCCTCCTCCTCCTCTTCCTCCTCCTCCCACACTCGTCATGCTCCTACCGAGCGCCTTCCTTTCGCGAAGTAAAAATGCGCGCCAGTCCAAATACCAAGCTGGGAAGGAGGGATCACCCTGGCTAACTCGACTGCTGCCCCTCCGTCCTCATCATGCTGGTACGCCCGAAATGGGGACGGACAACGAACAAACAGCGAATGCTGCCCAAACCTGACAGCGGTCGATGTTGAACAAGCGACTCCTGTCCTAAACGAAGACACTCCGCGGCGACAGCGACAGCGAGACCCACTCTCAGTGTCCCATCTTGATCGTGTCGATCCTCATATTCTTCCTCCTCCTCCTCCTCCTCCTCCTCCTCCTCCTCCTCCTCCTCCGTGTCGTCCTCCTCTCACTCTCCCTCCTGATGGAGGGGGCGGCGCGGCGGGGAGCTGGAGGAACAGGAGCTCCTCCCCCATGCCCAGCGTTTCGTCCTGCGCTGTTTTTGTTGACAGCCGCGGGGCCTGGTGATAGGCCCGCGCAGAGGCCGAGGACGCTCAACAACATTCGCCGTGTTTTTTTTGTTCACGGCGTTGGATTTCTGGATAATGTGACCATTCCCTCTACCTCCTCCTCCTCCTCCTCCTCCTCGAACGCCTCCTCCTCCTCCTCCTCCTCCTCCTCCTCCTCCTCCTCCTCCTCTGAAGGGGAACGTTAGGGCGGGGGCTGGCTCAGGAGAGTGCACATTGACTTGGAATCGGTAATGCACCGCCGATGGAGCGGCGATGGACCCTCATAGCGAATCCCCCTCTGAGCATGTCCCCGAGCGGCCTTCGGGTCATAACTCGGGACTCCAACGGCCGTTCGGGACGACCCGGGAACCCGCGGGACGCTCTCGGTGAGGCGAGGCCGCTGGAAGGCACTACGAGGCTGGACAGCCGTCGAGAAGCGACGGACACGCCTGGACACCTCAAATCTCGAGCCTCCAGAGACTATCCACCCATAAAGTTGCCCATGATTCTCATCCTCGTGCTCCCCCTCCTGGAAGAGGGAGATCGGGAGCAGGAGCTCTTCCAACCCCTCCTCCTCCTCCTCCTCCTCCTCCTCCTCCTCCTCCTCCTCCTCCTCCTCTCCTCCTGCTCCTCCCCCTCCTCCTCCTCTTCATCCTCCTCCTCCTCTTCCTCCTCTTCCTCCTCCTCCTCCTCCTCCTCCTCCTCCTCCTCCTCCTCGTGTGGGAGGGGAGGGAGCAGGAGCAGCAGGACAGGCTCGAGGCAACCTCTGCAGCATGTCTGCAGCGCCCGGCCCTTGTCGTCCACTCCGATCGCGATCGGGCGTCCGCAGCCCATCTTGCAGAGACCAGCCCCCACCTCGAGGCGGCGTCGTCGTCGTCGCTGTCGCTAGCGTGGTAGTCGTCGTCGTCGTCGTCGTCGTCGGCGTCGGCGTCGGCGTCGGCGTCGGCGTCGGCGTCGGCGTCGGCGTCGTCGTCGTCGTCGTCGTCGTCGTCGTCGGCGTCGGCGTCGGCGTCGGCGTCGGCGTCGGCGTCGGCGTCGGCGTCGGCGTCGGAGGAGGAGGGAAGGAGGGAGGGAGGGAGGGAAGGAGGGAGCGAACGGAGGAGGGAAGGAGGGAGGAGAGCCCGCCTCTTGCGGAGCCGTGCCCCCACCCCTGCGGGGCCGGCTCGACGGCATCGTCGTCGTACAACATCTGGGCTTTTTGATCGTCGATCATTGAGGGTCCCAGGGTGCCCCAGGGCTTCGGTGGGCCCCTGGGGCCATCGGGGGACAAGAAATTTCTGTGGGGCACTTGCTGGCAGGCTGATTTCTCATGTCATGTGCCCACTGCAGTCGCCGCCAGCGTAAAAGTCGTCGTCGATGTTTCGGTCGTCGCCGTCCTGGTCGACTCCGTCCGCGGCGTTTCCGTTGGTGTCGCCGTCGGAGCTTCCGTCCGAATCTTCGTCGGCGCCGATGCCGCCCGCACCCTGCTCACTCCTCCCCCACCAAGCGGGACGGAAGCGAGAAGGGGAGGATGAGGGATGAGAGGGGAGGATCGTGTGAGAGAGGAGGGAACTAAAAGCAGGCGATGGAAGAACGATGGAGGAAGGGAAAGGAAGACTTCGGATTCTGGGCTGCCTCCAGCACGCTGGCAGCCGCCTCTCCCGCCCCATTCCGAAGGGCGGGAGGTGCCACAACTACTCAGGGTGCTCCATGGGCCCTACTCCACGTGGGTGGTTCTCTGGCTCTCTCCCTAGCATGATGTGTGTTTATGTTGTGCTGTATACTATTTGTTGTTATCTCTCTCTCTCTGTGGCCCCTCTCGCTCAATCGGCAGCATGTCATTTACATCTGTGTATATATATAGATATGACTATGTATATGTATTGAATACCTAGGCATGTCTCACTCCTTCTCTCTCTCTCGCTCTCCCTCTCCATCCTTTACATCCTCTCTCAGCCCTCTCGCTCTCCCCATCATCATCTCCCTCATCGTCATATTCCTCCTCCTCCTCCTCCTGCTCCTGCTTCATCCGCCCGCCTCCTACTGCATCCCCCCTCCTCCAACTCCTCCTCATCCCTCCTCCGATTTCCTCGTCCCCACACTCCGCCCGCTCCTCTTCCTCGTCCCCCATTCGCCCACAACCCATCTTAGATGTTTCGAATTCCGCCTTCGTGGGGTCGATCTTCCCGCAGTTGTCGTCGTGGCCGAAGCCCATGATGCACCCGCGACAACAGGTCTGGTAAGGCTTGCCTGGAGTCGGGATCGCACGCCACCGCCTGCTGCCCTCCACTCCCCCGCTCGTCCTCGCCCCCTTCCCTGCCCTCCCTCTCCTCCGCTTCCTTCTCGTCGTCGTCATCGTCGTCCTCCTCCTCCTCCTCTTCCTCCTCCGTCTCCACATTCATCCGCGCTCCCTCTACTGTCTACTCCCTATCCTCTCTGGACAACCATCCATCACCTCCTTCCCCCCTGCGCCTCATTCCCTCACCCCCTTCTACTTCCATCCTTCCTCTTACTCCTCCTCCTCCTCCTCCTCCTCCTCCTCCTCCTCCTCCTCCTGCTCCTTCCTCGCCCTGTCTCTCTTCCTCATAACTCGTCTCGCTCCTCCTGTTCCTCATCTTCCTGCTCCTCCTCCTCCTCCTCATCTTCCTCCTCCTCCTCCTCCTCCTCCTCCTCCTCCTCCCCCCACCCCCTCCAGCAACATGGGCAACACTATCATGTCGCACTGGACCCGAAACCTCTCTCCTCCCTCCTCCCTATTCCGTCTTGCCCCTCCAACCAACGTCTGTCGGACTCGGCCGAGGACTTCGCCAAGGTCCATCCTAGAATTCGTTCGCGCAAGATCGACGCGAATTGGCCCCCCCGAGGCGGGACATGCAGAACAAACCTGTTCTCGCTCCCCGTTCTCCTCCTCCTCCTCCTCCTCCTCCTCCTCCTCCTCCTCCTCTCCTGGCCATGGCTCTGGAGATCGGGGCAGAACTCGTTCAAACTTGATCCCTGCACGCGCCAGGCCGTGGGCCACGAGAACCTCTGGAAGCGTCCAAACACTTCTGAGGAGACGACGCCGAGTTCCCACGGTCCTGGGGAGCGAAACGGGCCCCAGAGCCCGGAAGAGGCGCAAACAAACCCGCTCCTCGCTCCTCGGTCCTCTACATCCTCTGATCCCCAAGGGAATCCTCGATCCTGGCTCGATCCTCCTCCTCTTACTCCTCCTCCTCCTCCTCCTCCTCCTTCTCCTCTTTCCTCCTCCTCCTCCTTCTCCTCCTCCTCCTCCTCCTCCTCCTCCTTGTCCTCCTCCTCCTCCTCCTTCTCCTCCTCTTCCTTCGCGTCCTCCTCCTTCTCCTCCTCGATCCTCGCTCGATCGCCCTCCTCCTCCTCCTCCTCCTCCTTCTCCTCCTCCTTCTCCTCCTCCTCCTCCTCCTCGATCTTCGATCCTGGCTCGATCCTCGCTCCTCGCTCGATCTTCCTCGCCCCTCGCTCGATCCTCGATCCTTGCTCTGCTCCTCCTCCTACTCTTCGATCCCCCGATCCCCAGCAGGAGGCGGCGCCCCCTCCCTGTGGCAACTACCCCTGGCGCGACGTGCCTTCCGGCCCGCTGGGGCGCGTTCGGGCCAGCGCCCTCGGGGCGAATCCGGCCGTGGCCACGAGGAAAAAAACCCTCCCAGTAGAGGGCAAACAAACCACCCCCACCCCGACAAGCAGAGCCGTTTAGCAAACGCACCCAAAAGAGGAACCGAACAAGGTAGGGCCGTTTAGTACACGCCCAGGGCCGTTTAGTAAACGCCCATTATCGGGTCCAGGTGGTTTTTCTTCCCTTGACCCAGAGCCCCGCCCAAGGCCAGCCTCTGGAGCCCTCTTGGGGCGCCTTCTGGGCAAGACTTCGAGGCTACCCCAACGGCGGCGCCAAGAGGCACCTCCCAGACGGCTCACATTTTTCTTTTTCAGAAAACAGGAGAGCGTTTCTTTATGTTCGGCGATGACGGGCGTCATGGGGGGGGGGGCGGGCAGGGGGGGTATGACGTAACGCCCCCCCCCGCCGTGTGGCTCCGGCACCACAGCCGCGCCCGCGCGCACGACGCGACGAGCGACGAGCGACGACGGCGACGACGACGACGACGACGAGGACGACGCGAACAAAATGTAAGTGGCGATATGCCCCACGGCGCCTGTGTACACATCGCATCGCTCGCGTGCACCACAACGCGCGCGAACACCACAACGCCTGCGTACACCGCAAGAGCCGTGTGCAACGCAGCGCCTGTGTACACCACAGTGCTTGCGTATACTACAGCGTCGGTGTACATGTGTACACCGCAGCAACCATGTGCAACAGAGCGCCTGTGTCTACCAGAATCCACAATACTTGCGTGCACCGCAGCGACTGTGCACGCCACGACGCCTTTCTACACCACAACATCCGCGTGCAACGCAGCGCGACTGTACACCAGTGCCTGCGTGCAGGACAGTGCTGAGAATCGAATGCGACGTTCTTCCCTCTTCCCTCCTCCTCCACCTCCACCTCCACATCCTTTTCCTCTTCCTCCTCCTCTTCGTTTTCCTCCTCCTCCTCTTCCTCCTCCTTGCCCCCTGTCGTGTGGGGTGGCGCTACAGCGCACGTGCGCAATTCAGCGCGCAGTGCACCGCATAATGGTCGATTGAATCGGTCCAGTTGGTTCTCGCACGGCCAACTTAGCTGGAGCCTCCTGGACGCAGATGGGAGAAGTTAGGGTGATGCGGCCGGATTACAGCGGCGCCCCTTTGTCCACAAGGATTCCTTTGTACTGTTCCCTGTGGAATCCACAAGCGCTCCATTTTGTCATACGGATTCTTTCTAACATTCGATATGCAAACGTGGCGCTGTGTTGCACACGGTTGCTGTGGTGCACACAGGCGCCGTGGTGGACACAGGCACTGCAATGCACGCAGGCATTATGGTGTACACCGGTGCTGTGTTGCACACGGCTGATGTGGTGTACGCAGGCGCTGCGGTGTACACAACAGCTGTTGCGCCCGCGAGCACAGTGGCACAAGCTGACGCTGTGTTGCACGCGGCTGTCATGGTGTACATACGCGGTGTGGTGTACACAAGCGCTGTGGTGCACGCAGGCACTGTGGTGCAGATCGCCACCTACATGCTGATGCTACCCGTCCCCCGTCACTCCTAGGCATTCCCAGACGCCGCCGGCGCGAAACATGATGTCATCGACCCCCTCCACACCCCCTCAGATGATTGCCGTGATCGGCCCAGAACAAATAACAGGCTCCTGCCGCGTCCGTGCGCACGACGACGATGAGCGACGAGCCACGAGCGATGACGACGACGACGACGACAACGACGACGACGACGACTGCGGACCAGACTCCTATGCGGATTCTTACGCGGACACCTACGCTGATCCCAGCGCGCACGGCGGCAGTGCCCGGAGCGCACTGGGGGGGGGAGCGTTACGTCATAGGGGGGGGAGCGGGGGCCATGACGCCCGTCATGCCCCAAGCAATAAAGAAATGGTCTCCAGCGCGCACTGACACGGTTCAACGCAAACCCAGGTCAGTCAGGCCGTGCAGGATCCTGCAGGTCAAAGCGACCGTGGCTCTGCAGGATCCTGCAAGATCTAGCGCTCTGACTGACCCCCGCTTGCATTGAACCCCGTTCGGGCGGGTGGGGGTGAAGAGAAGGACCCTAAAGAGGCTCTTCCAGGGTCCTTTCTGGAGCCAGCTCGTGCCCCAAGGGAGCCCTAAAGGGCCCCTCTCGGGCCCTTTATCTTGACCCCCCCATTTCGGTCGCCCCCCATTACCACCCGTCCGACCTGTAGGATCCTGCAAGATCTGGCGCTCTGACTGACCCCCGTTTGCATTGACCCCCGTCTCAAGGCCCCCGAACGCCTCCAAACCGACCCCTCCCGTGACGCCCCACTTCCGTGATGCGCCCCACGCTGGAGAGGCTATCCCCCTGTGGCCTGCAGGTGTCCTGGAGCGAGGCGAGAGAGTCGCCACGCGGGGGGGGGGTGCTGCGAGTAGGGGATCGATCAACTGCAGAATTGATGCACCCCACTATTTGTTTTCTCGTTGAATGTCCAGACAATTATGGAAGATGCTCGTAAATCTACGGGCATAATTTGCTTCGTTTCACGGATTCGACGAAAAATTCAATTCTGGGGTACTTCAATTCTGCAGTCGATCCCCCACTCGACTGCTAAGGGTCTGCGAGGGTTGGGTCGGGCATGTCCTCCTACAAGCTGGCTTTGGAAGACAAATAAAAAAATACCACAAAATAATCAATAACAATCCGCCGGCCCCCTTGTGGGGCCACCAGGCTGTAGGCCAAAGGTTCGCAGTTTCCTGTACGAGTTGCAGCTTCCAGTTTCCACTGTTACAGTTCTGCTTCTTGCTGATTACTGTTCCTTGTTGATGGACCGCGCGAGGGGGGGAGGCCCAAACGGGTAGGTTTAGCACGCCCTGAGCGCGTTGTCTGAATTGCTGGGGTGGATGAAAATTTACACCCCTCACGCAGATCGGTAGGGTCAGGGTCCAAAAACACAAGGGATTTGCTACATTTCTAAAAATTCGATGGCACCCCTCACGCAGATCGGCGGGGTCAGGGTGCAAAAACATTCTGGGATTTGCCACATTTCTGAAAAATTCGATGGCAGTCCTCACGCAGATCGGTAGGGTCAGGGTCCAAAAACACAATGGATGCGCTACATTTCTGAAATTCGGTGGCACCCCTCACGCAGATCGGCGGGGTCAGGGTCCAAAAACATATGGGATTTGCAGCATGTCTGAAATTCGATGGCACCCCTCACGCAGATCGGCGGGGTCAGGGTCCAAAAACACAAGGGATTTGCCACATTTCTGAAATTCGGTGGCGCCGCTCCCGCAGATCGGTAGGGTCAGGGTCCAAAAACACATGGGATTTGCTACATTTCTGAAATTCGATGGCACCCCTTCACGCAGATCGGCGGGGTCAGGGGCCGAAAACCCTGGAGATTTTCAATATTTCTGAAATTCGGTGGCACCCCTCATGCAGATGCGTAGGGTCAGGGTCGAAAAACAAACAGGTCCCGACACTGCTTCACGGCGGCGCCCAGACCTCATGATTTAGCTGTTGCATCTCCCATTATCCGAGACAGGGGGCCGGCGGCATGGGGCGAAACCCTTACGGATAATCAAGAGAGCACGAAACATTGTCACCATACAAGTTTTCCCCACATCCTAAGGTGGAGTTCTTGTTATTACAGAGACGCCTCGGACCT